GAAGGTGTGTGTGTTTTCAGTCCTTGGGTTACAGTTACACCAATCATGTACCCTGAGATCATGGGAATTAGCATTACACAAATTTCAAAAATGAAAAATATGAATAGAGGGTCAGAAATAACCTGAAAGGTACTGTTTCAACTCATTGCATTTTCCAGTTAGCTAAACTCATAACTTTGCCATACCATGGAACTGCAGCAGAAAAATGTACTAGAGTCAGATCCAGCTCAACAAACCTTTTGGGAATCATAAATTACACATTTTGCTTCTCCTGAAACTCAACAAAACCCTTTTCAGCTTGTAAGGCCCCCTTGTTTTCCTTTCTGTGTTTCTGTCATATATTTGAAAAAGCAAGTTAAAAAAGGAATACTATATAGGAAAACCCAACTATCCTTTTGTTTAAATAATCCCACATTTCCACTAATTTGTGCTGATTGATGAAATGAAGATTCTGATCTCTCAAAATGTCCAGCCTAACTCACTTTATGAACTAATGATATTTTGCAAATGGAAAATAAAGTGTACCCTGGAAGAGCAACATTTATATGCTTTTGCTCCTGTCACTCCACTGTGATACAGCTTTGATTCTGCTGGAGATTTTGGGCATAAAAACAAAGATGGCATTTAGCTTAAGAAACAGAAAAACCTATGTGTTCTTTTTTAAGACTGACCTGATTCTTCATAAGTAAGGCTGCAGTTGTATCTAGGAGAATATTATTGAACTCAATAGGGCTTGCTTCTAAGTAGGTGCACATAGGATTGCATGGTAAATAGATTAGGGAGAAGAATGTTTAGTGATGGAACTCACATGTTGTATGAAGTCTAGCTCAAGATCTCAAGTACCAAAGCTGGGAAATACTTCTTTTTGAAATATTGGAAGACTGTAATATCACCAGTCCAATTATCTGAATGGGATATTTGCAAAAGAATCACCAGACCATAGAGAAAGATGAGGCAAAGTGGCAAAACATTGATTTGGCTAAAAGGGAGAGGAGTAGGAATCGGGCTTGTCAATATTGTTAAGAACTCTCTACCTTCCCTCTCATAATCCAAGCATTGTTAAATATAACAGGAAATGTTATTGCTAAAAGCTTGACTTAGCAGAACCAGAATTGATTCTATAGAACTTAAGTTGTTAAAAAGCCACCTTCAAATTACTGCTCACATCCTTGCCTCTGGGCAATATGGCAAAGGAATCACAGACGGTATCACAGTTTTTATGGTACCACTGTGGAGCAAAGATTACAGTCAAATATATGACAAATATATGGTTCTTGATGGATTTAGAACGATGACCCCTGAATCCAAACTAGTTTTGCTATATTGGGATGGAGATAGGGGTTAAGTCTGTGTTTTTGTGTTGGGATAGGAGGCTTATTCCAAGAAAAGTCATGAAAACCTGACTTCTGGATAGGATCTACATTAAACTGCACCGTGTTGTTGGCACCACGCGCTGGCTCTGTGATTTTTACAATGTAGCGTGCAGGCAAGGATGTAACCTGCATTGGTCCTGGATCTGAAAGATCTTGGATCTCCGTGTAGGAATCACCAGGATCCACATTTCACCCTCCCCCGCCCAGCAAGAAGAGACGCAACAACACGTGCAATTTCTTGACTTTAGGGTATATTCTGAAGTCTCTAATCTAGCGCGCTCCAGCCTTTCCCTTTCACCAGCACGGCCAGCCACTACCTGCTCCCCAGATCTCTCCACAGAACGAGCCTTCGCGTCTCTTCCCACCCCACCCCACGGGCTGAAATCACACCGCAGCGAAGGAGATGCTCCGAGCAGCAGCCCCCTCGGCCAGTGTCGAACATGATTCTGGCACCGGCAGGCAGGGGCGACGCTGTGAGAAGCGGGGCAGTCGTCCAACTTCTCCTCCCGCTCCCCTACGGCGAGAGGCCAGGGGGACAGCAAGTGCTCCACAACGAGCCCGGTGCTTCCCCTCCGCTGCTCGCTCTCCGTCCCGGCGCTTCCCCGCAATGCAGCCCGCCGAGGTAAGGCCGGGCGAGGGGATGGCGAGGCAGGGCTGGGCCAGGCGCGCCGCTTCTCCGACCCCACCGCGCGGCGAGCGCCTCTCCTGCTCGCCTCCTGCGGGCGGGCTCGGCGCTTTCCTTTCCGGCGCGGATCTCCCGGACACGTGCGCGTCTCCGCCACTTCCCGCGACAGTGGGAAACGCGGCGGCACGCCGGATCCGATCTTGGGTTGTATCCAGTGCTAGCTTAAGTTCATCTCAGTGGGCCTACTCTGAGTAGGACCTTTACTAGCTACAACTCCGTGGTGGATTTATTTTCAACCGTGGCGCGGATATTTGCCGTGGGTCCAACTTGGAAACGGGTTTTGAGCGCCCTGCGGGCTGGGGCGGCGAACTCGCGCTGGCGTTTGCATTGGGCGCAGACGGAAAGTGGACCGGGCTCCGCTGAGCAGCGATGCTCTCGCGTTAGCACGGAGACGCGCGCGGAAGGCCGCGCTCCTGCTGGGACGCGCAAGCCCGCGGGAGCGGGACCGGGGGCGCTGCCGTGGGTCGTGACGGTGCGGGGTCTGCGGTGCTGCAGCGCCGTGATTGCAAGCAGTGCGTCTTCGCTGCCTGAGTTTATTCCGGGAGGCCCTTCAGGGCTTTTTTATTGTTTTGTTTATTAAATTGGTATAAAAGCTGCCGGTTGCATCAGGGGATGCGCGGGACTCATCTCGCCCAGAAAGCTCCGTCTTCCTGGCTTGGGACCTGGATCATTTTGCGGGACATTTTGCATTGCAAACGGAAGGATTTTTCTGCCAAAATAATGGAAAGATGGAAACTAGAGCCTTTTTTTATCAGTGCCTAGTTGCCAGATTTATTGCCCGTTAGTTTATGTAGTCTTCTAGTTTAGTTTTTATTTAATTGTGCTATTCCACAGTGCTTCCTTGGGCTTTTCCACAAGAGGGGATACAGGCGCTATACCGGAGAGTTTTGTTTCCTATTTTGTATAGGTGGCACTGTGTTATAGCAGAACAGCGAAGCTACACAAGCGAAAACAGCATGTTCTTTCACTTTCAGAAATGATAGCCCATTTCCCATGTTCTAAAACAAAATAGTGTAAGGTGCTGTTCGAAAACAAAACTGGAGGGTCACGACTTCGTCCAAAAAAGCCTGGAAACAGTGAGTAGGGAAGAAGAGTACAATCAATACCTTGGTGCAGGAAAGATTCTAGTGGTGGAAAAGCAAGAAAGGACACACTTTGTATAGTGTATGGATCTTAATTCTGTGATAAAATCAAAAGCAGATTAACTGCCTTCGTGTTTTTCTTATTTACTAGAAGCGTTAGAAAGGGAAGGTGTTGTCATCTGGAAACCAGTAAAATTCCATGAATGTGTGGAAGTGACGACACCGTCATCTCCTCATTTGGAAGCACCTGGTCATGCCGGCATTTGCTGTGGGGTAGTTCTCATTGATTGCAATTGATACGCTTGCCCTTTTTAGCGCCTCTGCAGTGATTACCTCCAATCAATCACTTGGTAGATGGGCAACTGACTCCATTCCGCCTCTCCGCTTCAGCTGGAGGTCAGTGTTAGTAATGCCAGTGGCCAGCATGGCTGGAGATGAAAGGAGTGCAGCAGATCTGGAAGGTGCTAGGTTGGGAAAGGCTGTTTTATGGCGTATTATGCAGAGCTCTACTTTCTAAGTAAATGTACATTTTTATCTACTGTTTTTAAACCTTGTGCTTTGTGGGTTTTTTGGGCTGTATTTTAAATTGCATTGCTTTAAATCAGTGCTTTTTTTGTAAAAAAAAAAAAAAAAAAGTGCCGGAACTTACGTCCCCGCCGGCAGTAAGCACACACACCAATCCCAAGCCGAGAGCAGGGAGCAGCGCTCCAAGCAGCTATCTGTCACTATCAGATAGCAGATAACAGACACAATAGCAGCCTGCAGGCACTATGTTAATGATGTTTGCTGCTGATCTGCTACTCCGTTCAAAATCACTTCGTAAAATCCATTAAAAAAAGGTGCGGGAACGCAGTTCGGTGCATTCTATGACAAAAAGCCCTGCTTTAAATAGACCTGCAGTCATTTTTTTTAAAATGAGGGGCAATATGTAAATATTTTAAATATATAAAGAATGCACAGCTCCAGTGGATACCTATTGAAGGAGCTTTGGATTTAGGAACTAAGGCTGTGCAAGTGACACAACTCCCATTGTGAAAGCATCTTTTTTTGGACAGCAAAATAATTACTTATTTGCATATTTTTATGCCACCCAATTAACAATGGCCTCAGTAGTCAACAATAAAGTTTCAAAAGCACTTTTAAAAAATCAACACGATCCCTAAAAATCAAACAAAATGTAACTGGCCAGAGATCAGAAACAACAAAGTGTTATACTAACAATGGAGAGCTGATAATCTTGAAGATGTTTGAAGAAATTAAAAAGAAAGTCTCCACTTGGTGCTAAATAAAAGCCATAATACAGACAAATCTTTCTGGCTTAGGTGTTCCACCCTTGGGACACCGCCACAAAAAGGCCCACTTTCTTTAACCTCAGACTTTACATAGCTCAGCACTAGCAAGATGTCTCAGCAAGGCTGCACTTTTATGTCCAGCTGCCTGGGAGTAAGGCCTGCCGAACATATGATACATACATTTGCATAAACATGGAGAAAATGGTGCTGGAATGCCACCATAATGCTGCACCCCTTACCTTTGAATAGGCACACGGAGGATTGTGCAGTAAATTCCTTTCACTGCAATCCTATACATGCCTACTCAAAAGGAAGTTCCATTACATTTGAGGAGGCTTACTCCCATGTAAGGTATCATTGAATTGTATGGAAATAGACACTGCACGTACCGCGTTCTCTCCCGTTTGTTATAGGTATGGATGCTAGCTTGGCTTTTTTTGTCTGGGCTGCCTTTTCCTGGATTAGAGACTGTCAAGGTAAGCAAGCGTCCAGTGCGGACTCGAACCTGTGCCGATCGACCTGAGGAGCTTCTGGAGCAGCTGTACGGAAGACTCACCGCCGGCATGCTCAGTGCCTTCCATCATACCCTGCAGCTGGAGCCTCTGGAAAAAGATCACAATATAAGTTGCCCAGCAGGAAGCAGGCCGCCTGTGGACAAGAAGTACCGGCTCCCTATCAACCTCAACAGCATCTCTCCTTGGTCTTATAGGTAACCTGAACTTTAAAACGTTAAAACAAGGTGTTGTGAGTGTTCTCTCCTCCCAAGGTCGGTCCGTAGCTTGGAGTAAGGATGAGAAAGTCACATAGACAACTTGTGTCAAACCAGTCCAGCAATACAAAGGTGGTACAGAAAGGATGGGCAGTTTGTGGCTCTCCAGATATTTTGATGTATGGGCTGATGGGAGTTGTAGGCCAAAACTTATAGAAGCTGACAAGTTGCCCACCATTGAACTATCAACACTTAAGCTAAAAAGGGGGGAAGGTCCATGCACATTGTCTGCATGGTACTGCCCTTTTTCATTAGGACAGTACTAGGAGAGCTGAATTAGCACTGACTCACTTTCTCTAACTTGATAGCTAACCTAACATGTACCAGAGATAGAGCCTTTTCTGCAGTGCCCCCGCCCCCCACCTCTGCAATGCATTGCCATTGGGGTTGGCCAGCCCCAACATTAAGGCTTTCAGGCCCTGGAAACTTTCTTGTTTATGGCAGCTTTCCTCTAAATTATGCTTTATTGCACTGTGTTGTAGCTGCAGTTGTGTTGTAGGTATTATCTTAGAGTGGTATTCATTGTTTTTAGACTATTTGCTGGTTTTATTAATACATCAGTTGTATTACTTTTATTGTCATATACCATCTTTGTAGGGGTCCCTAGTCTGAAAGGCAGCTTAGGTAAGATTTAAATAAATCAGTAGTCCTAAGGTTAAAAAGCAGACTGTGTTCTAAGTACACAGAGGAAAGTAATGGGGAATCTGCCTCTCTTCTCAACACTTATTTCAAGTAAATCATATCTTTAGGTCAACTTTAAAATCTTGGAAGTTTTTTTAAAATAATATAAGTATGTGTATTGCAAGAGGTAAAACAGAGTTCAAACTTTCTACATTCAAACTGGCATCATTCTTAATTTTGAAAAGATGTGTTCTTGTTACAATATTGTGAATGAATAGCAGCATTTATATTATGGCACATACCTTGCACAGGAAATGCAAATATTGTCTTTTTAATGGCCGCTCATACACATTGGTTTTGTGGCTTGTCCACTGCCTGATTTAGCTTTTAAAAGAGCACCTCCTGAGATAAAAAGATATGTTTTCTCAGGTTTAAAACTTAGTCCATACATTTAGAAATAGTCTTTACTGGAAAGGTGCTAAGCTTGTATTATGTAGAGGTTCTTCAAATGCTGAAAGACCCAAAGCATACTTAGTCTGCAGACAACAAAACATTGGTGTCCAGTTGTTAAAATCTAGAAGATATGCTGCAAACAAGATTAAACTGTTTTGAGCTGCCTTTTAGAAGACCGCTCTTTTTTCATTTGGCCAAAGGAATGCATGAGCTCACAGCAGAGCTTGGTTGCTTCCACTTCATCGCATAGCTGGGAAAGCCTCGCCTAACAATGTGGCACCTGAGATGCCAGCTGGTCCTGGTCTCTTCTCCCTGCCCATTTGACAGAGATTTTGTTCTGTTCCACTGCATGCGCTCTCACTAGTCCCACTGCATGTGCCCAGATGCCTGCTTGCTTTTGTTTCCCTTTTGAGTGGGCCCCTTTGTGTTAACTCTGTCTCCTGGTTGACTACTTTGCCAGCTCCTTTTATGATATCATCTCCAGATGTCATTAACCTGACCTGTTTAGATTCCAGATTATTAATGATGATGATGGTAAATCAATCCAGACCTAAATGCTTCCCCCTGGACACTTAACCTCAGTTTGATACACTGTCATTTATCACCGCTCTATGTTTACAGTCTTCCTGTCCATGTGGCTGGATTCCTAACCTGAGCAACTGGACTATTTCACAAAAGCTATCCAGGTCATCTGTTAAAATCCATATAGAGGTTAGTTGTGACAGGCCAGCTCTGACATAAGCCTTTGGACTCATAACATAGGAGCTGCATGCCTTAGTGCTGGGCATGTGTAGCTATGGATATGCCTCATTACAACTTTTGGCCCTCAGAACTACAACAGTCGGTTTGCTTTGGCTCCAGCTCTGCATCCATAGATGGCACATGATACGGGCCTGCTCTGCTTATGTTCCATCAAGGAACATACATGGAGGATGTTAACTTGAAATAGCATCCTGATGTAAATGGTATCCTCAGGGAAAAAACTAGAAGTCACATAGTGCCATTCTTCTGTTGGAATGATCACCAGAAGCATTGCAAGATGCATCTTCTGCATTATTACTAATTGTCCATTACATTCATACACATGCTTTCTTTCTCTTGCATGGCCATGATTGGCCCAAAGACACCCAGTGACCTCCATGGCTGGGTGGGGAATAGACCCTGGATCTCCTGAGTCCTAGTCCAAGAGTTTGACCATCGCATATGTTCAACATTTAATTTTGTTTATTACAATTTCCATCCTGCCTTCCCACCAAAGGAGTCCACAGAAATCTGTACATATACATTGGGATGTGCAAAATAATCACACTATTAAAAAGGCAAATCGTACATGGGAAATGTCTCTGCCATCGTAACCATCCATTGCCTATGATAGCAATTCTCCTTCCACATGTTGTAGAGGTGTCCTTATGAGCTAGCTTTCCATAATGAGCCCGCACACCAACAGTGGTCCCACTGGTTCCTATGGAACTTAATTAAACATGCTCATGGTTGCATGCTCTAGGATGGGGCCATACTAGAAGAGGCTGGTAACTCCTATGGCAGCAGGACATCTTACTCACTGCTGCTTTTACTCGGAGCTTTCTAGGAGCTAGCCATGGTGGTCAACCTTCTTGGGAAGGTGGAGTTCAGCACCATGGATGAAAGCTGCGCAGGATGAGGAGAACCACCAGCATCCCCTGATTCAGATCTAGGGCACAATCCTAGGGGGGACTGCTGGGAGTTGTAGGACTGTCTTTGTCTAAACATGCACTGGATTGCATCCTTTGTTCATGCTTGGAATAGGTCCATTAAAATCAATGGGACAAATTAGTTAAGTAGTTGCACTGGGTCTACTGTACTCTAGTACATTGAAAACTAGATACAATGCTTTAATTTTTTTCTTTATCTTTCCTATCAAACCTTAATTTGAGGAATGTCAAAGTGCAAGAGGAGCCTGGATGTAGGTAACAGTTTACTTAAACTAATCTGGGTGGCTCAAGTAACTGAGCAAACTACAAAGCAAACGCCAAAAGAAACCCAAAGTTTAGTGTGTTAACATGGGGGAAGAGTCCTTCTTTAGCCCAAGGCAGTGAAATGAATTGTTTTTAGGAGGTGCAATGTGCTTTTGAAGATCCAATGCAGTGTGGTCTTTAGGCATTAGAGAGTTTTATAAGTGTTACGGGATTTAGGAGATTTGGCTTAAGACTTCTCTTCTTACTTAGAGTCTCTCAAGAGAGAGACACGAGCATTTTGCAGCAGTTGACTCTCCGGCTCTTAACACAGTTATTTTTGCAGCCCCTTTTTGACAGTGTCCAAATTGCAGCAGCTGCTTTTGCCTCCTTTTTCTAGAATAAGTATTTTTAATGACTAGTTCCAGACATCCTGAACCGAGTCCAAGTTGTGGGAAGTTTGTGCAGACTGCAGTCATCTTGAATCATGATTAATTTTCTTCTGACACTGAGCAACAAAATATTTATGGATTGAATCAGGTATAATTTTGTTAACAGCAATAGCAACGGGAACCATACGGCCTCTGGGGACTCCGTCCTGTTTGCATTTAGCAGCTCTGCTTGTGTATTTCAGGAATCTGAAAGGGAGCTCAGTTTCATGACTTCTTAGGCAATTTTGAACATACTGTCACTCCAATCCAAAGGTGCCTGTCCTACCTAGAGGGCTACTTTGTATCACTTAAGTATATTTTGGGGAAAACAACAGGTTTTTCCATTTGTGTTTCAAATTATTTTTAAATTACACAAATACAATAAATATATCCTTCATAACAAATCACGGGCTAAAAAGAAGCAAAACATTAACCATACAATTTATTTCAGTGGGACTTAAATACCTCAGAATATTGGGCATGATCCAAACAAAGCATTTTAAAACCCTACTGATTTCATTGGCGGAGGGAATTTAAAGCACACTTTGAATGGGAATCTTGCTGAATCAAGGGGGTCTTTCTTTGGGTCACATCCTGTTGTCCCTGTCCAGAAATTTGCTCAGGGTCCAGATACTTTCTACCTAAAACTGTTTTTAAACATATTTACTTAAGGTAAGTCCTGCTGTAAGGGTAGTCACAATTACCTTTAATCACATTAATTTCAGTAGAACTAAGGACTAAATTCTATGTTACATAGAGGTGTATAGTTTAACTTGGTGATCTGGTGTAAGAATATGCAAGAACTTCATTTATGTTCATGGATCATAAACCCCCACCTTGAATGTGGAACTACCGGAGGAAATGTTGCCCCTAAATTCTCAAGTGTGGATTTGCAGGCAAGAATTATATTGAGAAGAATGTCCAGTTTTAGAAAATACACACATGTAACACATTTTCCCCTGTTTTTGTACAATTTTTCCATTTGTGCAAAGCAAACAGAGATTGCAAATGAAAACAGGAAACAGAGAGAGACAGACTGATACCAAATGGATATTTGGAAAATCTGGATAAATGTGTGCTTCACTTGTTTGTCCATTCCTTTGCTTCCCCACCCGCCAGACACTTTTATAAACAGAAAAGCAACAGTGGGTAGAGGCTGAAATCTTGAAGAGATGCAGCAGATGCATCAGAGTTGCTTCCCTGTAATTCTTTCCCTGTTTCCCCCTTCCTTCAAGCTGCTTTCCATGGGAAAAATGGATGGCGGCAGGCTTAGGACATACGTTCTCTCCTAGCCTGCCTATTCTTCCACTTAAGAGGCAAGGCTCCCCTGTGGACCTCCAGATGTTGATAGATCACAGCTACCCCCATCCTTGAACATCAAGTATATCTGCTGGGGCTGGAGAGAGCTGGAGTCCAACAGCATCTTAAGGGACACAGGTTCTCTAGAATCTGGAAAAAGAATTACATAATTGTGAACATCATGCAGCTTGGCTTTTAGTTCCAA